AAAAGAGATTGCTATTGTGATAGAAATGGACAAATATACCGTTTAGAAGTCCCTTTTTTGACACTATAATAAACATGGAAACTTACTTAATATGACTTCCGTCTCGCTTTTGACGTACACCGAGCTCATTTTGACTTTTTTGAGTCACTTGCCCATGAAATAATGCCATGACTTTTCCATATTTTACGAAGACCAATGTCAGTGCTCAGACGTTCAGTTTTCTGGCTTTTTTCCTTCTTTTTTTCTATTATATAGCTCGATAACAAGCAATAAAACTTTCATTCAATGAGTTTCCTTCAACGACAAACAAATATAGCTGCATATAAATAGACAACAAGGCGTCGAAAGTCGAAAAATATTGTTCGCTGGCCTTGATCAGCCAATCAAATCTTGCGAGAAAATGTTCTTAAAATTGTTTTGAGCCTAAGTGAAAGGTGATCAAAGAACAAATATTCGGACAGTACATAAAATAAAATTGAATCGACGTACTAAAACAAGAAACAAAACTCGCAGTCTTTGCTATTGCCTTCGCATAAAGAAGCCAAAAATCTTTTAAACAAATATCGATAAGTAGATAGCAAACTCTTCACTGTGGGAAACGAAGTATTGCAACGATTGGACGAGAAAAACTCCAAATATAAACATGAACAAAAAACCTTTATTGCAAGTTGATAGTTCAAAGCCAAAGGTTAGTGGAATTCACAAGTTATACGAAGGCAACAAAAGTTTACAAATACCTAGCAACAGCTGACATAAAGATAAGAAATTTCAGGAAAATCCTGTTTTCTCCGGTTAAAATTAAGGTTATCGGACGGATAGTCCGTGCTTCGTACAACGCATTTTTATTCGGCAGATAGCTATCCATTGGATAGGAGATTTATCCATTGGATAGGACTTATCCACTGGATAACTTATCCACCTTTCGTACAACCGGCCCCAGAAAATCTAGACGTGGAAAACACAGGAAAATACTTTAAACTACCTATAACTAACAAAAACTATTGTAGCTAAACATTAAAAAGGTCTTTTCTACTCTCCCACGATGTCTGCAAGATCCATACAGACAGCAGATTTCCAAACAACAAACCCGGAGTCGGATTGTGTCCGATGATCGATCACGGAGTTCATCGGTTGTCTTCTACACAAATTTAACAAATACAAATCAATCGAGAAAGAAACACAATATAAATAAAGAAAGCCTATATAGAAGGATACACCTTACCTGAAATTTATAATCCTCTGAACAGAGGCAAGAAATTTAACTGCAAATTCACCTCGAAATTCATTCCCTTCCTGTTGTCAAACTTCGCTGTAAAATGTCATTATTGCTGTCGTGATTTATTTTACCGTTTGGTTTTTGAAAAATTGTTAACAGCATTGTTCATAACAGGTCTGTTCACATCAGGTCGAAACAGGCCTGTTGATTTCATCAGACTTGCTGCAAACTGTTAACGACAAGCCTGTTGCCACTTGTTTTCAACAGCATTGCTGCAAGCTGCGCTCATCAACTTGCTGCTGGCCCGCGGTCATCCAGTTGCGACAGACAGGTAGCATCAGGTCTGTCGCGGCTTGACTTATTCATCAGGGCTGACGCAACTTGTCATCAGCTTGCGGCGGCCAGGTAAATTCCGCAACTTGCAGCAAGTCTGTGAGATTTCTGGCCGTGTAGGCGAGCAAACCCAGGTAATCATCTTTGTTTGCAAAATATCCAGCTAGTGTATAGTAATTGCCCAATAACTCAGGCAATGCAAAGAAAGACCCCGTCACAAGGCATGCCAGCTCATTTCCATATAAAATGAAAATGAAATAGGAGATACCACTGGAAGTTGCAACTTGAAACAATTACCTTTCATGTAAACTCCCCCTTAGTCTTCTAACCAATGTTGCATTAATTACTATTAGAAATCTCATTAATAAAATTATGCTCTGTAATTACATACAGAGGCTGATGCAAGTCTTGATCCATTCAGAGTTACTTTCCACCCACACTATAGTTTTATTTTTGGTATCCAATCAAAATGTGCCAGAAGAAATGTCAATTTCACATAATAACAACAAGCTAAATTTTGACCGATGCATTCGCATCGCTGGCATCGGTCTGGATCCGCCCCTGCAGTTGCCCCTATAGGAAAGCATCAACCCAGTACGCTTAATATGGTTTTGGTTATTTGCATGCAGTAACACTTTTATCTAAATGCATATATGTCTTGGTCGAAGCAAGGAAAGTGTTTGATATTATAAATTTGTGCTTTGATCGACATCTTGTCTGTCTTACTCTTTCAACACAGCCTTAAATTGAAAATGAAGGACCTATAAGTTGAAACATTAAAAACCGACTATATATTATATACAAATAAAATTTGGCTATAGACTAATTTCACTGTTATCACATCCTCTTCAGCATAATAGGCCATATTGTTAGTATACTACTACTATTAGTAGCCTGTCTGTAGCCTATAATAAAAATATAGTATTATATACTAAACAATTAATATGGCATAATACTGAAGAAGCTATGATAACAGATAAATTAATATAGCCGGATCGCCATTTATTTGTATGCAGTATAGTATAGGCTATAGGTTGTAACGTTTTAACTTAGGTTTTTGTTTTATATTGCAAGTAAGACTGTGTTAAATTAGGCCGTATTCTGTGGCACGAAAAGTCGCTTAGAAAACGAATTCCGTTGCCCGGGTTCGGGCACTACTTTGAAACAAGATAAATAATTAGGAAAAATTATACAAAGTCCAAATCCGCTTGTTTGCACTTCCCAAAACCTGCAGTTTTCGAGTATTTCTTCTTCGAAAATTGAAGAAATCGACATCTTTCGCAATCGATCGCCGCCATTTTTGTTCAGGATACTTGGTGTAATAAACACTCTAAATGCCGATTTTCGCGGGCTCATGCTCATTCTTACATGAAGTTTCCAGCTTAGCTTTTGTAAACATGGCCACAAAATAGAGAAGGGCAGAAAGTTCACTCGAGTCGGAACCTTTGAAGTTTTTGTGCCGGCACATGTTACTTCCGGATCCTGGCCGCCATGTTGAAAGCAACCAACTCTGGTCCAAAACATTATAAACTAATATGGCGAAACTTGTATTTCATAACTTTAAATGGGTATATCGTCGTTATTTTATGGTGGATGTCATTGAAATTTTCAGGACGTACAAAAGAAAGGTAGATTATTCATTTTATTATAATAAAAGCTTATTGAATGATGCTAAAATTGTCATTTTAAACGCAGCAAACTGTATGTGCTGTTTTGGCACCGATGGATATATACGCATTTATATGTTGTTTTTCTGAGTGTAGTTTGAAACTATTGCAACTACTAATCCACTTAACTTGAAGAAAAATGCGTCATGTCTTGTTTTTAGAACGCAGTAGGTTGAATTTTTTTAATTTTAGGCGCATATTATACTGTGAATATCCTTATAATTCGTACTACTATTCGTACTAAATTATATACCTGATCAGTGAAAGGGGATGTGATGTCTTTGTATTGGGCTTCTTTTCTTAATTAACAAAAACGTTTTTGGACTAAACTAAGTAAACTGCGCGAGTAGAATCCATTTTCACCAGAACTGGTTTATAATTTGTAACTTTGATATTAAACTTTGATTGCTGGTAACAGTAATGAGTACGATATTTGTTCACATCTGTATCAAGCAATTGATGGTGGAGCAGACTAACTTGCCAGAAGTTACAGTTCATGACCCAAAATTGCAACACACCAATCTCATGTAGATTTACTCAGCAAGCACCATCTTAATTAATGATTTCACCTGTTATCAATTACCATCGGCATTGTTAGGTTTACCATCTTAGTGAAGGCGCGAGACTAATTAAGCTCCAAAATAATAAAATATTGCACATTCAAACGGTGTAGCTCAGTCTGGAATGCATTGGTCTTGTAAACCAGGGGTTGTGGGCTGCATTCTTACTGTGGTAAAGTTGATTTTTCAGCTTGCCTGGTATAAATTTACTCAGTGTAGCAACATATTAGTAATTTCTCCTATGTATGATTACCATCAATATTAGATTTAACACCAGCCTTGTATCTTACAGTTCAGTTCTTATGTACTTGGTGTAAAAGATTTTAAGCAATATAACTTGTAGAAGTTATATTGATTAATTGTTTTGGCAACACAGCATATTGTCCAGTGCACATGGTTAAAGATGCGCTACCTTCAAATATTTTCTGTTCTTCTTTTTAGTGTTGGAAAGTTCACGATTGGCAAATTTCAAGCTGTAGTAAATGCACAACCTCAAAAACAATTTTTGTATCTTTCATGATGTAGTCCAGAAAGCAATTTGTTGGAACATGAAGACCTTCAAATGTGTTTTCTGTTTGATCAAAGGCCTTAAAGAAACAAAACTGCTTCCTGTTATCATCTAGGTCATTACATTGGATGGCATTTGTGCATGTAGGACAGTTGCAGATCTTAATAGATTTATGGATCTAAACTCAAATTTATGGAACTAAATTATATGGATTTATGGAACTAAAATCAAATTAAATATGGATTGATAATATGGATAAAAAATATGGATTTATGGAACTAAAATCAAATCAAAGTGTTGTTTACATTTTGGGGTTGTACAACTTGTACATAGTAGAATACACTAGATGTTAAAGTTTCATTTACTTGGTTCCCTTTGTAAAAACAACATTACAACTTACATGCACCAACATCAGATTTGTTGCAAGTTGAAACCAGTTTTATTGCCTGATATATTTTACTCTGCCAACAAGTCTTAATAACTAAGGGGCTATTTACATGAGCCTGACTAGTCAGGACTGTTAACCGAGGCACCCAGCTTAATACAAATCATTTAACAAGAATCTGCCTAGCCGAGATCTCACTTGAGTCAAAGGGGACGCCCAGATAACCGGGCTGGAATTTTCCCATGTAAAGTCACCAGCTCATGTAACCTGGCTAGCCAGGCCTTCAGCCCGGTTAACCGGGCCAGCTTACATGGCTACCCGGGCTCATGTAAACAACCCCTAAGGTGATAGCAACAATAATATACTTGGTGCTAAATGTAACATAAAGTTGAGTAACAGAGAAAATTCTCATCTTCAGATTATTTTCCCCTCATTGTAGAGTAAACTGTTAATATGTA